TTTGGGAAGTTTTGAGATTTTAATGGAAGTTCCATGAGCTTCCAAAAAGTATCGAAAATTTCAGGAAAATTGCGGGAACTTCAGCATAGGTCAAAGAACTTCAAGGCAGTTTAGGATACCGAAAGTGTATCAGAAGTGCTTCTGAACGTGTTTCGCAGTTGGGTGTGGTAAAACTCGTGCATTCCCGGTTAATTTTTAGTGGAAATTCTGTATCACAAAATTACACTGAGTTCCTTTTTTTTGCCGTTCGAAGACGACGAGTTTGCTTTCGCGAGAGTGACGTTTCTTGGATCCGTTTCTTTGCACGGGTGTGTTTTTTGCAACCAGCGGTGTGTAAGTGTGCTTGTGATTTTCATTGCCTACCGGGAGGCCGGTTCACCGTGTTCGGATGTTACGCTTTCGGCGTGTAGTTCCATTGAGAGTCTCGTCACCGTGTGCGAGTTTGAACACAGTCCAGTTGGTAAATTATCTGGGGAAAGTGCTGCTAATATGGCCGCCGCGAGTTTTGGTGGTGATTCGGTGGCCGACGTTGCCGTGAATTAGCGAGTTTACGGCTTGCAAAAGTGCTCGTCTGCTGGTCTTTCGTCAGTGTCGGAGATTGTGAGCAAGCTGAAGGATGCCTCGCTGGATACGCCCAAGACTAGACGGGCGGTAGCTGGTGATCTTGAAAGGTTCCTGGGGAAAGCACTAGGCACAGCACTGAGCACATGGCAATGCAGGATGTATTACAACAAAGTTAATTGGTATTAGATATGTTTGCAAACAGTGACAGATAGCGGACATGAAGCTCAAGTGGAGAAAGGGTGAGGAAAAGGTGTTATATCCTAGAAAAATGGTAAGTTAGAAATTCGCTGTTGTCGTTGTCGTAGGCGCCGTTGTATTCGCGGTCGTATTCTGTATCGTAAGCAGTACCGTTAGTATATTTAAAATTAACCATCAACCGCTGATACTATATGAATAGCTATCTAGTATAGATTGGGAGAGCATCCTCGATCCTGATAATGTTGAAACCGCTGCGCAAACATTTTCACATGTCTTGGCTTATGTCATTGACAGGCACGTTCCGAAAAGAGTTCACCGTAAAATTTCTCATCCTCCCTGGCAGACGAGTGAACTGCTTAGGTTGAAGTCGACCAAGAGAGCCGCATTAAGAAAATTCACAAAGTATCGTACGCTTTCGCTGAAACGTCGTTAGGCTCAATTATGAGTTCAAGCGAGTTAGCCGTCGATGCTATTCGCGATATCAAGGAGGGATTCAGAGGAAACTCAAGTCGCACCCGAAGTCATTCTGGAATTACGTTAATTAGCAGCGCAAGGAATCCGACCTACCTTCTTCAATGGTGTTGAATGGAGCAGTTGCTTCCACTCCTCAGCAGATCTGTCGCTTATTTTCTGAGAAGTTCGCCAGTGTTTTCACGAATGAGAGATTAACTGACGAACACGTTACCCTAGCAGCTAGTAATGTTCCACTGTACGGTCAAACACTGGGTGCGACGGATGTCAACGTCGAGATGATTTTCACTGCCGCATCACAACTCAAGTCGTCCTTCAATCCAGGACCCAATGGCGTTCCATCCGTATTCCTGAAAAAGCATATCGCCAGCTTGCTGATGCCCATGCTTCACCTATTTCGATTGTCCATCTCGAGTGGTACATTTCCATCTTGTTGGAAATACGCACATATGTTTCCTATCCACAAAAAGGGCAGCAAACGGGATGTGCACAATTATCGTGGAATTACGTCGTTGAGTGCAGTTTCGAAGTTATTCGAGTTAGTTATCATGGAGCCTCTACTCTCTCATTGTAAGCAGTATCTAAGTGGTGATCAACACGGCTTCACTTCCGGTCGTTCTACATCCTCAAATCTGCTGTGTTTGACTTCGTATCTTACGGAAAGCATGGCAGAGAGGACTCAAACAGACGTCATATACACCGACTTGTCAGCTGCCTTCGATAAGCTAAACCATGCCATCGCGATTGCCAAGTTGCATAGACTTGGGGTCAGCGGCAACCTCTTACGATGGTTTCGTTCATATCTCACTGATCGGCAACTGATGGTTGCCATTGGTGACAACCGGTCCAATATCTATCTAGCTACGTCAGGAATACCTCAAGGAAGTCACCTGGGACCTTTGATTTTCTTACTCTACTTCAATGACGTGAACTTGGTCATCGAAGGCCCACGACTATCGTATGCAGACGATCTTAAAATCTACCTACGAATCCGCTCGATTGATGACTGTCACTTCCTTCAACGTCAGTTCGAAGCCTTTGCCAGCTGGTGTAATTTGAACCGAATGGTGGTTAACCCCGCTAAGTGTTCAGTGATCACTTTAACTCGGAAGAAAGAACCAATCACATTTGAATACAAACTTATCGGCACTGTAATCGACCGTGTAAACCATGTGAAAGATCTGGGTGTTATTCTGGATTCTCAACTTACGTACAAGCAGCACATCTCGTACGTTGTCGACAAGGCGTCTAGGACATTGGGATTTATCTTCAGGATAGCAAAGAATTTCTCCGATATCTACTGTTTGAAGTCACTGTACTGTTCCTTGGTGCGATCCATTCTGGAATATTGTTCTGTGGTCTGGAGTCCAAACTACAACAATGGTGCTGAGAGAGTTGAGTCCGTTCAACGCCGTTTTCTTCGATTCGCTCTGCGGAAGCTGCCTTGGAGAGACCCATTTCATCTGCCCAGCTATGAAATCCGTTGCCAGCTGATTGATCTGGAGCCTCTCCGAACTAGAAGAGACACCTCTAGGGCCCTGTTCAAGGTACAAGGTAGAATTGATTGCAGTGCAATCTTGGGGCAAGTCAACATTAACGTCCAACCCCGTGCGCTACGTAACAACGTTATGCTGAGATTGCCACTTCAGCGCACAAACTATGGCATGAACGGTGCAATAGGTGGGCTGCAACGAGTGTTCAATCGAGTCTCGGGCATCTTCGATTTCCATATGCCTCGACAGCTGCTACGAAGATACTTCTCATCGTTCTTTTCTGGCATAGGTAACCGTGAATGATCGTGTGTTTTATTTATGTATTTTATTCTTAGTTTTTATTTTTTGACTTATCTATATAAGTTACTTAAATCATCATTGGGGCTATACTCAGCCTGTTGATGCAGACAAATAAATAAATTATCGCGTATTTTTGTTGTTCATTACATACCAAGTGAAATTCGAGAACGTAATTTCATTTGAATAGCTTGTTTAACCAGGGCTTAAACAATCGTCACGTCGGTCATAGCTTGTTATGATTGCCTGAACCATGCGTAAAGAGCAAATCAAAACATTGAACGTCGCGTGAAAGTGGAACTTAATGAAGGCCTAAGTACTCTTTCGTAGCTTTTAGTTTTAGGATTTGAAAGATCTTCTGTTGCAGTGGCTTGCTTACTGAGTAGAAAAACGCAGTCCTAGGTCCTTTCATATTAAAAATGTATGGTAAGATCGCTTGTTTATCGTGTATTTTGTAAAAATCTTCGTTGTCGTCGGTGCCGGGTTTAAATAGTAATAGCAACTTGAGTAACGGTATAATGGATATGAGGGGCTCGGTGGCCTTAGAGCAACCTTTTTTGCTTGCTGAGCAGAACATCATGAGTCTAATCTCAAGCCCCTCCACATTCAAGATTCGTTAATCGTTTTATTTGTTAACATGACTACATGGTAATAACAGCAACTCGATGATTAAAAAGGAGCTCGTCTGCCTAGTGGCAAACGTTTTTGCCTACTGAGCAGAAAACCGTGGGTTCAATCCCAAGCTCATTCGCGTTAATAGATCGTTAGGACATCAATTCAGCTTATCGTTTACCAAAACGAACCCTGCTGCAAACCCAACCATATTACCCAATATCCCAGTGATTCCTCGTGGAAGTGCAGAGGTGTTCTCGGCTTCCATCAAAGCGAGTGTCACGTCAACAAATTCGCCTACCCCTTCCTTTATTGACCTGTGTTCGGGCGCGGCCGGCGCTGGTATTGCCTAGTTTGAGATCACCAGTTTTTACACATTGAGGATGATTGCTAGTCCCAAGCATCGTCTATTGATTTTCTGTGTATTTACAGCTGGTCTGACAATAACATAGTAGCAACCGTGGGCGGTCAATCATGCTCATGCTCATGCTCAAAGAACTTCAAGGCCGTTTATTTAACTTAATGTAAATATTTTAAGGAACATTTAAATAGTTCTGTTAAAATTATGTAAATCTTGGGAGCTGTAATTTAGAGAGGTTTAATTACAAACAAAAATCAGCAAAAAAGTTGGTTGGAGGACTCCCGAAAATTGCGTTATTTGGAGGATTCCTGTATCTGATTTTGAATACATTATTCATAGACGATATTTTGAACAAGGAGCTTAAATATGAAGTAAAAATTTTAATTTCTATAACCACCAAACATCTTTATATGTCTGCTTAAAATTCAAAAAAACCTATGGAAGTCTTATTCAAATTGTTCAAATTGAAAAACATGTTCACATATCACGAAATGTCTTCAAAATGTCTGTAGCAAAAAAAAAATGTCTTCACAGGATTTCAAATGCCTTTAAATCTCGCTACTTTTAAATCCACCCAACAATTTAAATGACCATGAAAATTGAAATACATCTTTCTTTTCAGGCAATTATTTCCGAAAATCGAAGTGTCATCTTGTTTCCAGCTTTTCCCACTTTGACAGGATATCCACAGCTAGAAAATTATAACCATCAAAAAGGTGGACATTAGTCACGCGTACTTAGGCTTCAAGCGCACCATGATTGTACCCGAAAGGAAACGAATAAGACATCATCATCGTTTCTTGCCTTGCCGGCCTTGTCTGCGAGGAAGGTGAGAAATATAATTTGGACGTGTCAGCTAATGAACTGACCTTTTCAGTCCAGTCTGTCGCCGGGTGTGGTCCTTAGCTCAGCCGTTGCCACCCAGAACGATCCCATGTGTCTAATTTTTAATAATCCCCGCCTAGAGGGAATTTGAAAGGGGAAGAAGACAACGGTGATCTTACCTCGTTTCAGCATGCTGGACGTGTGCGGGTTTCGGCTCTTGGTGCTCAACGACGAGCAGTTCCACCGGTGCCACTGAAACTGATGCTGACACTCACGTACGCCCAGCTCCAATCCCTCGATGGCCGCGGCCGTCACATCGCTTGCCCTGTAGCACAGTTCCAGCTGTTCGCGCGTCAAGCCCGGCACCGTGCGGCATGTTGCACGGACATCCGGCATGCAGAGGATTCTACGGAGGAGGGGAAGGCAAGAAAGAGAAAAGAAGAAATTTTGCTTTTAAAATCCTATCGGATGCATGTACTTGAGCTGATGCAAAGCGGTCAAAACGCGGGATCGTTATCGCGTTATACATACTCGCTAATTTCCCATCATTATTTTAATGAGATGTAATTAATTTATTGGAATGAATTAGCAGTTGCAACGGGTCCAGTGCTGCAGCAACGGCAGTGGCAGCACGCGAACTTCCTCGGGACGAGCGAGATGAGAATGCAAAATGTCAGCCGAGTTCACTGCAGCCGAGGAATTTACGCGACGACTGATGCGGGATCGGCGGTTCGCGGTTTAACACTTTCGAGTGGAACTAATTAATAAACTGTGAAATATAGGCATTTAGTCCCAGAGCAAGCTTTCTCGGTAAAAAAGGATTCAGTTACCAGATTGTGGTTGTGAGCTGTGTGATCTACTTTTTACTGGCGTGTGGTGCTCCGCATTGAATTCCGTTTGGATGGATGTGCGAAAATACCAGATCATTAATAAACAAATCTGCTGGCATAAATTACATGCTAATTGGACATGAACCAAATTTCGAAATGCTAAACCGGATAAACATATATTGGCAACTGATAGGCAAGCTTTGTTATCAAGACGAGCACGTTGGAAATGGATTTCCAGCCTTCAGTTTGGGACTTTCATCATAGATCCTTGAACTATGTATTCAGTAGCTCCGATACTTGACTTAAATAGAAAAGTAATGTGTGCTATTTTCACCAATAGTTACAGTTTTGCTGCTCAGTTTTCTACATTTTCTCACCACTGGTTGAATAATAAATTCTTCGATCGATAATCATACAAAATCGACAATAGTTTTCCAATGTTCACCCCCTAATCTCTCCTTTCCGACTCTCAAATAAGTCAATTTCAGATTTCAAGGCAAAACGCTTCAGGAATGTTCTATCCACCGAGTGACAGAAATCGTTTTAATTGTCGTACAAATTTGTTCACCCACCTTGTTCGGTGGTGTTGTCACTCCATTGGCATCCTCTTGAATGTTGTACTTTGCATACTGAGCCCAATCCCGGAACAGAGCCCATCCGTGCCACGCTATGCCACGGGGAGTGTGAGAATCGATTGCTTCATCCAGCAGCAGTGCTCCAGGAAAGAGCAGCAACAATTTGCCCTTAACTGCAACTCAACTCCTTGGTTCGTTTGCTCAGTCAGTGTCGGATTCTGAAGCGCTCGGAGGAGGAAAAATCCTTGGAATTTGTTTCATTAGCCCTTAAGACTGTGTGAGCCAACTTTGTCGTTTTAGCCATCGTCGACGTCTCGAAAGTGCGCGCGCGGTGAGCAAAGGGAATATCATAAAAATAACTCCAACCAAGTTCTCACGGCCTCTGTCTCTGGTGGAAAGGATTTCGCTGAGGATTGAACCCACAGCGACCGGGCATTGGACTGGATTGGACTGGACTGGATTGGAATGGAGTGCGGGAGAATGACCTGAATGCCATCGTTGTTCGTGGACGGTTGCTGGTCGAGATGCTGCTGGCGGGGAGCTTTCGGCTTTGGACAGATTTTCTGCGGAATCATCGCAAAACGCAAAGGGCATTCTGAGTGAAAGAAATTTGCTTGGAATCTAGTGCAAGGCTTCGCACACCGAGACAACAATTATGATGAATGGTCCGTTTGGATGCTGCTTCGTCGGTTTCTACGGCGAGGGACAAAAAGGGTCCTTATTCCTGGAATTCTGGTTGGAATAGCGCAGTGAATTGCAGCGAGCGTGAGAAAATGCTACCGAAGGATAAACTTTGTTATAAGCTACAGGGAAAGGTGGTTAAAAGTTAGGAGCTGTCTACATACCACGGGGGCAGTTTTTGAGATGTTTTAGACTCCCCGCCACGAGGGGGAGGGGAGACAATCATCCATACAAATATTTGAAAATATGTGTGGACCACTCGCCAACCCCCTCTCCAAATAAACTCCACGTGGAAAATGGAGAGCCTCTTATGAGTCATATTGACATGCAAGAAAAACTGGTGTAGCCGACTGTGTCATAATCAATGGATCACATCAGTCGAGCAGTTTAAAATTACGTTTACTACCACTCATACTTTGCTGCGAAACATTATTTTGGAAACAAAATCTTTTAGAGCCTATAGAAAATACGAGAATCTTATTGATGCTACGCTATTTAGAATGTATTCCTTAATTTTCATAAAACTGCTGGAAGCAGCTCGTAAGAAAACTGCGAGGTGGTAGCCCATATTTTGCACCAATAGAAACAATAAAAAGTCGGCGCCGATGGTGTAGTGGTAAGCGTGACTGCTTTCTCAACCCAATGGGTATAGGTTCAATCTCAGCCGAGGTCGGTGGGATTTTTCTGAGGTATAAAACGTTCCTTCGAAAGGGAAGTAAAGCCGTTGGCCCGGCCCATGGGTGCGATATTCTACGCAGGTGTGGAAGCTCGATTGCCGTCAATGGAAGGCAATCGATGTCCGTCGGTGTTTTGCAGTAGATTGCGGAACAGAGACCGACGTTAAATAAAGGAATGAAGAAGAAACAATGAAATGCACCCTGAAAATCAATAAGGCCGGAACAAATCACATTTATTTTTCTTTTTTCACTCGATGCTCGAACCAGTGAAGGGGGGGGGGGGGGGAGGAATAAAAAATAATGAAAAAATAAAAAAAATAAAACCTTCAAAATTTGTTTTACATCACATGTAGTTCAAGCGTTTACATTACCTCTTAGCCTTCGCTTTAGTCTTATACTTCTTTGAAGCCGTGATTTTTGACAATAATGTATAACAGAAGCCAGAAATGTTGACTTTATTATGTGTAACACTCTGGTTATCAACAAGTCATTTCGCGCAAAAGTGTAATTTTTGTGGTTTTATAAATTCCGAATACACCATCAAGCGGAATACCGCAAACGTAATCGTTCTTATAAAAAAACGTTCTGTTTTCGATAGTTCCTCCTTATTCAAATATAACATGGCAGAACAGGAAACCCAAATTTATATCAACATATCTACTTTGTGAATTTAATCTCAGTTTTCTCAACAATTGCGCGTGCTTCAAAAAATCTAACTAGACGTATGGATTCAGGAACGTCTATTCAACAAAATCCAAGCATAATATTCAGAAAAAGGAGCCAGAATCCATCCTGACTAAACATTCCATTCTATAAAATCCAAGCATAACTTTCAAAGGACGGTATCAAAATCCAACTTAGCAGAAAAGGAAACCCAAATTTGTACACGCAAACCAAAAATGTATTACAATGAATGTTAGTTCCATTTCCTATCATCCTCTGTTCATGAACATCGCAGCGAATGTTAGAAGTTGACCTTGCAGGCGATGTAATGGTTTTTTGCCTTTTTTATTTCGTGTTCTGTCTGTGCTTTCATCTACACAAGCAAGCTTTTGCCTTTATGTATGTATAACATGGCAGAACTACGCACACCCTTGCCTCGAATCTCTCCAGCAGAAAAAGCATACGAAGTCAAGTGTGAGAGGAAATGAGCGCTTCTTGTTTGCTTTTAGGCTATATTCAGAAGCATGAGAGAGCAGTGGAGAAAGCACAGGTCTGATAATCACAACGTTCGTGGTTCGAGTCCCAGTCGGCAACCTTTTTCCAATTTTTTTCGACATAGTTCATTTCACTCATTAATACACTCCACATTTTTCGGTCTCCAATTCTCTTGCATTGGACCGCAGCTAGGTATATTGCATCCTCGGTTCATGTGGTCTCCACTTACATCCTCTGATGATGAATCCCACATAATTGTAAGCGAATCTTACATCCACCGGTTGGGTGTAAAAATATACTTTTCGAATTATAAACCTGGTTCAACGCTCACGTATGGATTCAGCAAGGTCCATTCAATAAAATACAAGCTTATGTTTCAAAGATCAGCAGCACCGGTGGTGTAGTGGTAAGCCTGGGTTCAATCCCAGTCAGCACCGCCGGGATGTTCTGAGGCATTACATCCCTGATCACGCCTTCATTCGGAAGGGAAGTAAAGCCGTTGGTCCCCGGTTCATGAGTTGATGGGTCGATAGGTAGGGTCCAGGTGTGGGAGCAGCCTTCCTGGCGTCGGTAGCATTGGTGCCCAGCACGGAAAACAAGATCGACGGAAAACAACATCAAGAAAAAACAAAATCAAAGATATGAGCCGAAATGCAATTTGGCTGAACCGATAAACCAAATTTCTATGAAAATACGTATGGATTCAGCAATTCTATAAGATCCATAACTATTTTCAAAGGAAGGCACCGAAATTCAACTTGGCTGTATAGGAAACACAAATTTCCATGAAAATACGTACTTTTGAGATTAAAAAAAAATTGTGCGTGCTTCAAAAAATGTACCATCATGTATTGATTCTGCAAGTTCCAGCCTATAAAATCTTAGCCTATTTTTCAAAGGAATAAGCCAAAATACAACTTGGCTGAACAGGAAACCCGAATTTTCATCGAAATACGTATTTTTGTGAATTTAAACTCGGTTTCCACAAAAAAAATCAAAAATTCAACCATGACGTATGGATTCAGCAAGGTCCATTCTATAAAATCCAAGTCTATTTGTCGAATATCGTAGTCGAAATTAAACTTGGCAGGAAAGAAAATCAAAGTTTTTATGAAAATACGTCCTTTGTGAATTTAAGCTCGGTGTACTTAAAAATTGATAAATTCTCACGTTGAACGGCGCCGGTGGTGTAGTGGTAAGCGTGATTACCTCTCACCCCAGCAGGCCTGGGTTCAATCCCAGTCGGCGCCGCCGGGATGTTCTGAGGCATAACATCTCTGATCACGCCTTCCTTCGGATGAGAAGTAAAGCCGTTGGTCCCCGGTTCATGAGTTTGATGGGTCGATAGGTAGGGTCCAGGTGTGGGAGCTGCCTTCTTGGCACGTCGGTAGCATTGGTGCTCAGCACGGAAAACAAGATCGACGGAAAAAAACAAACCAAAAGGAAAAAAAAACTCTCACGTATGGATTCAGCAAGTTTTATTCC